AAATAAAAACAATCAACATTTATGAAATTTAATTTGAAACTTACTAATTTTTTTAGAGGGCTTATTTTTTAAGTTAAAGGACCTGAAATACTCCTTACCTAACATCATCTCCGAACTGTACTGGGGATAGAATTTAAAAAGAGCAGCACTTCTTTAACCCTGATCTTCAGTCGAACACAAAACAAACTGTTGATGAACTCTGACCTGTGAGGCAGACGTGGGCAGCTGAGAGGTAGGTGCTGGTAGCCTCTGAAGGACGTCGTCTGGAGGCGGGACGGGCAACACAACGGGACAGGCACTGGAAGGGTCCTTGTTGACCAATAAAACCTCGATGGGACCAGAAGTACTCTTGAGGCAGATCTGGTATTTCCTCTGCCCGTTCAGAGCCTACGCAGACAAACACACATCAACTGTGAGATAAAATAAATAAAAAACAAAAACAAAACAGTACAGCTGGACCAAACGGCACTAAATGAAAACTTACAGCTTCTGGTACGGGCACCTCTAGCTGTGTTCCTATTGGAGCACGGATTGCTAAGAGAGTGTCACCTGCAGCAGACAAAGACGTGATGAATGAGAAAAGCTGCTTTTGAGACACAACAAGCCTTTAACATTAATAAACTAAGAGAAATAAATACCTTTAAAAGCCCCACACAGGTCTTCATGTTTTACATACGCCATTGTACGACTGTGTTAAGGGTCCATCTCAAAAAAACAATCATCTGTGACCTTTACAGAAACATTTCAACAGTAAACTTTCTCTTTTTAAGACATTAAAGCATGAATGTTTACTAATCGCGGGACACCGTCTCCGCAGAGACACACATGCTCCAGGCAGTGAAGGATATGGGCTGTTGTTGGAGTCGTCGGTGACGTTCTTGATGCTTTGCTGGACCCAGACTCTCTGCTGGTCCAGCTCGTGCTCCCGGATGGCCAAGTCATCGAGCTCGGCCTTCAGGTCGATCAGCTTATCAGCGATCTCCCTGGTGTTGCAGCCTGGACCTACACCCCTGAAACACATCAGCAAACATCTGGTCAGGCACAGACAGCAGGCGAAGATAAGGTCACACACTCAGGATCAGCCCCGGTGTTTTCCAATCGACACGACACGACACTGATAAATCTGCATTCACACTGCGTTTTGGCGAATAATCCTAAGAAAATGCAACAAAAATGTAAGAAACGGACACGGCTGCATTAAATAAAGCCTTTAAAAAGCTGCTAATTCCATCAAGGTGTGTTGTATCGTTTAAAAGAAGTGTTTTTATGTGCAGTAATACATAACCGCTTACTAATCATAGYGCTTACTCGAGTCACAGATAAGATATTTAATTTGTGCTGCTGTTTACATGTTACAGAGCCTGGCGATGACTCGCCTCCACATTGTGACCACATGCTTTGTGGTTCTTCCCATTGCAAAATGACAAACTTGTGCACAAACTGAGCTGCAGATGTGTTTTATTTGACTTCAGACTCAGAACGATCGTCACCGTTCAAACAGCACTTGAGTTGAGTCATTTTTCTAAGGCTAATATGAGTCCAGTGTTTCCCCCTACCATTATACAGGCGGGGCGGGCCCCCCTGCCAACGAGACGGCCCGCCCCTCTAAGAACTTCACGGCATGTGGTCATTTTTATTTAAATAAGTCCAGATCAAGTCCAGAGCTATTTTTTGCGCCCCTCCATATCCACCTCTCGCCAAACTTGGGGAAAAAAAGACGGCGCAGAACGAGGCTGAGCGCTGTCTGTGGTCCTCACAAAGATAGGAAGACGTGTGTGCGTGCGCGACGAAAACTCTGCTTTTAATCACGTAGCACCGACGCGACAACTTTGCAAGCTACTTTTTCTTTCTTTAAAATAAAATGCGACAGGTGAAGCCACAGCATGGTTACCTTATCAATAATTTAGAATCACCAACACAGACCCCGCGTGCGACCAGGTTCCTGCGGGTCCGTACATGTTCTATAAATAACGCAGCTGTAATGTCCCACAACTTTAAAAAAAGTAACCAGAGTAGTTTGTAAACTCAAATCCAGACAGAATCAGTTGCTGTAACAGGTCCTGCTGGACTCAAACATGGAGCTCTGCTCCTCTCCACTCCTCTCCTCTCCTCTGTCTCACACCTGCAGGTCAGTTCTGGAGCATTAACCCTTAAGGGCCCAGATAATAATCTGTCTTTAAAATGTGGTAAATAAATTATTTTCTGTGACTGAGAGGAAATTTTTTTGATAGTTGCATAATTGCATTTTCTAAATGTTATCTTTTATCTACAAGAGAGTTCTAATTCTTAGAAAGGACATGATTTGAGGTTTTTACTGATAATATTTTATTCAAAAGATGTTACAGAAGTCATAAGAAGCAGGTTTATTTTGAACAAACATTACAAACGTGTTCATTCCTACAAAACTGTCAAATATATTTACAAACAACAATAAACTGATTCAGATTAACATAAAATAAATCATGTTTTATAATTAAATGTCTGTTTCCTGCTATAAAGAAAAATCCTCCTCCTGTCCTCCTTGTCCCTAATCAGGGTCAGGGTGGGGCTGGAACCTGTCCTCGCTGCCTTTGGGTGAAG